AAACTGGACAATAGCCCAAAAATCTACATACTTATTTTATTTCCAATATAACCAATTTTGTTTTCTTCTTTCGAATATTCAACTTTTTGTTTTTTTAATAATTCAATTTTATATGCAATTAAATTAATTTCTGACCAATAACTTGATAAAAGTTTGTTTTCATAATTTTCCTTTATTGAGTTCAATTCTTTGAAATTTTTTATATTTTCTAAACTCTCATCTAATATACAAGTTTTATAACAATTTTTATTTGCTCTTTTAAAAGCAATATTTCGGAGCATCTTAAAATAGGTATATTTATGTATAAATGAGAAAAGAATAATAAAAGTTAGAGTTCGAACCCGGGCCGGGCCCGGGACCGGGTTTTCCGGGCCCGGTAGCCCCGAACCGGGTATTTTTGAGAAAATCCGGTTTTTCGGGGTTTCCGGGTTTTCGGGGTTTTAGCCCGGAAAACCCGGCCCGGGTCGCATCTGAAAAACCCGGGCCCGGCCCGGGTCCAATTTTGAGTAAATTTTAAATAAAATTCTGACTTTTTGGCCAAATCTAGCTCCTTAAACATCCAAAAAAGGAAAAATTTTCGCCTGCAGCGCCAAAAAAGAGAAAAAATCTAATTCTTTACATCCAAAATTCTCAAAATTTTTGCCTGCGACGCTGTAAAGTAAGAAATCAGGTATGTTTTCTCCAAAATTACACCGTTACACTGCATATCCCTCTTGTCCTTCCAAATCTTTCTTAATCCGATATCCTTCCAGACATCGAGGTATTTAAGGGGTAAATGATATCTATGAATTTATAGTATTAATCTCCGATATCCTCCACTTCCCTCTTTTTTCCGATATCCCTTCGAATCCTCTCATATCCTTATCTGGGCGTATTATTGAAGGATCAAAAGGTTATCCTCCTCAGATATCACTTGAATCACAGATATTCTGATATCTATTACGAAAAGATTTTTATATGAAATCCTGTTAATATTTTTTCCCGATATACATCAAAATCCCTGTTAATCCATCCTAGGTGATATATACTATCCAGATATCACGCAAAATCCAATATACTATACCATTAATCCAGCAAAAAATTCATAAATCGCTTCAGAAGCCTACTTAACTAAATCCCTTTAACACCTTCAAATCCATCGATAACCTACTTAATCCCATCAAATCCTTTGATAATCCTATATCGCTTTAGATTCTCTAGTATTCTGGATGTAGGTATTGAGGGATGACCGCAAATTTTTGATAAATTTCTATTTTAAATAAAGAAGTTTTAAAAAAAAGCTAAATTTTAAGTATTTTTCAAATTTTTAAAAAACCGGGTCCGGGCCCGGGTGTAAAAAAACCGGGTTTTCGGGGTTTCCGGGTTTTCGGGGTTTTAGCCCGGAAAACCCGGCCCGGGTCGGGGCGGAAGAAAAAAACCCGGATACCGGGCCCGGCAAAGTGAAAAGTTCGAACTCTAATAAAAGGGCCGAAAATATTTTTCTTCAAAGCTAACCTTGTGGAATATATTCTGATATTTATTGTACATAAAATTCTAAAGAAATTATTACTCCTCCCGAGCCCATTTCAGTTTATCCATGTTATGTCCTTAACTACTGCTGTGCTTTATCACAATGAGTATGATAATCATGATAATATTATAATATAATCATACTTAATAATCATAAGTATGATAATCATATCATGCTTAATCACTCAAATCCCTCAAGTTAATCTAGGTGGCTGTTGCTTATGTGTGTAAAATCGAGGTTCTATGTACTTATCTTTATTAACAAAATAAACAAAATACCCGTTTTTCAAATTTAGGCAAAAGGTTTTGAATAAGCTGATTATTGGCAATCTCAATCAGAATTTTATTCTTTAATTGAACAGTTGGAAAATATTTCGAATCACTACTTATTGAAGCATCAAAAATATTTTTATCAAGGTCAAAGTTAAGTGGGTACAGAAAATCCTTTATATTATGCTTATGGATGTCATTATATTTATTATTATTTTTCTCAATTTTTTTCACTACAAAACGCTTCTCTAGTTCAACATTTTTTAAATAAATAAATTCTCTTTTTCCTTCCCAATCATCACTTATTTTCACTCCTACAGGAACAACCTTTCCGGAGCATTGAATATTTAATAAAATAATTAAATGTAGAAGAATAATCATCTTAAATTTTGTGTAAAAGGCATTAAGGAATCCTAAGGATGTAAGCCTTGAGGTGTACGGATTGTACTGCTTTTAGTTTTCAGTTAAAGCTTGAATTAATTATTTATTACTCAAGGGGTATTTGTATATGTTTATAGTTTTTAACGAATTTATAAAATAACTTTGAGAAAAAAATTTTTTTATTAAATAAATCCTATGAGATGAAATAAATATTATTGACTAAACATGTACTATTCGTGGCAATCAATTTATTAAAAGTGCAATTTAAAAATAAACCGACAATTGGAAATTAAGTATAGCTGATTTGAAATTTTGATTTTTTCTTTTATTTTCTGATGAAATCTGATGAATTTTTGGCCATCGGCCATCCTTAGTGCGAGGACGGAGTATAACGCCCGGCGGTTTTTTAGTTTTTTTTTGGTTAGCGTTTGGGTCTTTTTTTATATTTCTAGAATTTGCAGTATCTTTAAAGAAATAATTAACTGGAATTCTATACTTACACTTTAACCAAATCTCTGAAAGATACTTTATGCAAACTTTCATTTCGTTTATAGACATCGAGGTTACCTTGATGTGTTTTTGAAAATTAAATTTATCTTTATCAAACATACGGGCCAAGAACAATTTGGATAATGGAATCCATTGAAGTTGGTATAATGATTCTCTTTTGGCTTTTATGTTATCGAAGACTAGTTCAATTAAATATACCAACATATTCAAAAGAAAAAACAATCAGATATAAATTATTTATGCGTAGTAGGGGATATACATAACTGGTATTTCTTAAAAAACGACACCCCTTAAGTTTCGGCATTAGAGGCCGTTCGAAAAATCTACAAAAATTCCGGTAAGCATATCTAGTGATGTCCATTGAAAATACAAAAGAAACCAGCGAACTTCTCCACTTTTTAAAGCTTTTCTGAATTGTCTCTTCTAAAATTTTTCCTTTGACTTTATATGATGTTGTTTTTGGTAACACGCTTCACACTTCTGATTTTCTGAATCACGATACTTTACTATTTTCTGACAAATATAACATTGACGTTTTTGTTTGATTGGAGTTAGCTAAAAAATTATATTTTAATTGCATAGACTATTTTCTGAAGCGCTTCTGATTTTATATAATTTATTTTTAATTAAACTGAGACAAGATATATTTTAATGAGTTCTTTCATCAACCCTACATAGACATGTTTTGTTTTATGGTGGAAAGTAATCGGACCTCAATTTTTTAGATTTTTATAAAATTTAATTTTAATTCTAAAAAATTATTTAAGTAAAATATTAATAATTATAGTAATTTTAAAATAAAAATAATAAATTTTAGATTTTTATAAAATTTTTATTTAATTCTAAAAAATTATTTTAATAAATTTAATAATAATAATAATTATAAGATTAATTTAACAAATTTTATTATCTTATAAAAAATATTTTTAATTCTAAAAAATTATTTAAATAAAATATTTGGAATTTATTTTTATGTCGGCTCGTTCCTCCAGTTTACTCACAATCAGTATAACACAGAAATGTTTTTTTAATTTAACCAAGATAAACTTGAGTTTGGTCGATTCAAATAAGCAAATTTTTATCGAGCATAACAAACTCAGCCGATTTTTCTGAACTAGACTTCGTTAGATGAGATATAATTTATATATTTTAACTCATACTTCCACTAAATAGCTAATTTAATTTAAAAAAATATTTTTCTAATAATTCTCTTTTTATATAAAAATTTCTTAAAAAATAAGCTAAAATAATCAAGACGGAAATAGAAAAATAAGAGGCACACACACAATTTTAATTTAAAAGTGCATTTTTCCCTTTTACTTTTTTTCTTCATTTGTATCCCAATTAGAAAAATATTTAAGTCTGTCTTTTAAAATAAAATAAGCACCAATAACAACACAGATTTAATTAAAGAAAACGTCTCTTAAAATACAAAAAAAAAATTTTTGTTTTTTAATAAATCTGGTGAAATTGGCATAATGTTATTTTTTCGTTTCCTAGGCGATACTTTCTTTTTTAAACAAAATTATTTCCTTTCTTTCATAAACAAAGAAAATTTAAAAAATAATAATTTTTTGAAGACCTCCCTCATTGCTTGTGCCCCTTCTCTTTTCCCTTTTTTCATTTATTCCCCATAATTTTTTTCTTCCATGACACCTCTTTTGGGTCGCGCAGATGTTTGAGAGAAAATGTTAATAATTAACTAAAAAATAAATTGTATATGTAAATGGCTCTTGACTTTTTGATTGAATAATGGAAAACTATAATAAAGTTTATAATTTGTTATTAAGGGTTGTTAAAAATGTAAAAATAAATATTTAAATTATGCATCAGTGTCATGGGTACCTGAAAAACTGACTTCTTTCAACCCAAAACCCAATCCGGCTTTTTCTCAACTCGAGACATCCCTGTCATACATATCCTTCTTGCCAGACTAGGACCTTTTGTGATGACCCTCTTTCCTTTATATATTTTTTGTTTTTAGAATTCATAATCAGAGATTGTTAATAGGTAAGTAGAGTTGCACCTCGACCCCGAACCCTGACCATATTTTACTACCCGACCGAGCCCTGTCCCGAAACAATGCGAAAACCCCGTTCCACGACATACCCTCCCTCTATTCAATCCCTATTAATACGGATTGAAGAAACATTTCTAGACTTTGAATAACATCAAAATTTATAAATCTGTAAAATTAAGCCCTCTTTTAATTGTTTTACATCTTATGTTGTTTGTATCTTTGCTATACAATTTTTGTTAAATTATTTAATCAACAAAAACAAAATTTTGATAATTCTACTTTTTAAAGCTTAGTAACCTTATTTTATATATATTTTGTTTTCAACTTTTTTAGTAAAAATAAGTCCTTCCCTTCTTTGCTTCAATTTCATTGGAAATCTGCGTACTTAGAAAAAGGATGAGAAAAGGGCTCAGACATCCCCCTCACCCTCCCTTCCCCTCACTTTTTCTACAAATCCTCAGTGGGTGGCTGATTGTGAGCGCAATTTGGCCGAGTATTTTCAAATGCCCAACTAAGGAAAAAGGCTTCGAAGGGTTGTGTGTGCTTGTATGTGCCGGTCCCAACTGCTTCACTGGCCTGGAATAGTGGCCGTCACTCATGCGAAGAGAGGCAATTCTTCTCTTCCTCAATTTTTTATTCTTTTTCTTCTTTTCAATCCTTTCCTTTTCTAGCTGTTGGTTGTGAGGGTATATTTATATTTTGTGCCGTTGAGTCAAACAAGCTCACCAAGGCAACCGACAATTTTGCTACTAGCGCCTTCAGCTGCGCGCTCTAAAAGTAAAAAAGCTGAAGGGGTGACAGCTGTGCGCTCTCCTCCTTCCGTTTTCTGCATATCCCCCCATCCTTTTCATGCTAACTATTATATTTATTTTTGTGTGTTCTCGGCACAATCTAAAGAAAAACAGACTTGAGAGTTCCGCCCATTTTTCTTCCAACCTCATTCTTTTCTCTCTTGTATTTTCTCCTTTTCAATCTACTGCCTCAGGCTTTTTCTGGGAAATTTTACTTTATTTTTGCAATCCGTCAAAGGCATTCGTCTTCAATTTCTTTTTTTGACTTGCCAGAAAACGTACGCAGATGTGCCCTCTACCTAAGGGCAATATTAGCTGACAGTCGGGCGCATTCCTTTTTTGCCATCGATTGAGTCAGCCAACCTCTTTGAAGGCTGCCGTTTTATACAAGCTGTCCCCTTTTATTCCCCTCACTTTTTTTCTTCATTCAGGCTAAAATGTTTGGGACTAAGAGCAGCCAAGTAAGGCAAAAAAGGAGTTGTTGTTGCCATCGTTAAATTTCCATTAGCGAGTCGCTCTCTCCGTCAAAGGCAGAAAAGTAACGCTCATTTGCTTATATTTATTTCTAGGCTGTCCATCATCACTTCGTGGAAGCCGACCTCAAAATAAGAAAAAAGTTTTGTCCCCTCCATCAATTTGCTTTCCCTTCACAACACGTAAAACTCAGTCACTCACTCACACTTACACATTTACCTCCCATTTGCTAATCCTTTTGAATATTTTCCCTCAATTTATCCCCATTTTCCCTCAATATATAAATATTTTGCCGCTTAAATCTTAAATAAAACTTTTTAACATCTTTTTATGATTTTTTAGTTCTTCATTGTTGTCATCACCTTTCTCTTGAATTTTTCACAAATATCCCTAATAATTGAAAATGGACTGACGACAAAAATATTTTATTATTTATAAATTAAGTACATATATTGCCTTCAATCATCACTTTTTTATTGAATTTCGTAAACTTTCTTCAACAAAAAATAAAAAAATAGATTGTCAATACCACCCATATTCTTATTCTTTTCTTCATTTTTCCAAATAAATCCTTCTCTAGCTTTAAAATTCTAAAATATATAGCCAGGTTTCGGTTCGCCTTCACCAGTGACTTTGGTGTGCAACAGCTTTGACTATAGCTGGCATAATACGCGACTAAGGCACGCGGTGAATGCTGACCGTTCCTGGCCTATTTTTAAATTTATTTTACATAAAATAGGAAAATATTATTTTGAGAAAATTAACCCCCTTTCACCGTTGTGAAGTTACCGATAATCCACTGAGATTTTTTGTGGGAAATCCTCATATGGTCGAAAAAATTTATTATTTCTCATAATACACTTTTACTAGATCACTGGAAGGTCTCTCGTTTATTATCAAAACATTTCCGCTGGTAGCTCGACAAAGTTTTTATAATCTTTACAAAAAATCGGCCTTTTGTACTATTTTTAATCCCAATAATTATTTTTTCAACATTGTTTAACAAAAATAAAATTTAAAAGTTTCTTTGGCTTCTTTCCATAGACTTAACCTTCTAATTACAATTTTAAAAATTTTTTATTTAGTAACTTGGTAACAGAAGTAATCACGATTTAAATAAAACGTCAGAGACCTACAGTAATTTAATATTAATAAATTGTAAATTAATTTTGTTCACAATTAAAAAGAAATTCAAAATAAAAACTAGGTATGCTGTGGTAGATTACATATACCGTTTTTCTTCTAATAGTCGTTACAAACTAAAACTATTTTGAAGTTATTTAAAGATATTAATTTAATTAGATCTAGCAATTTTTTATGTTTTAGGTTTAAGGGGGCTGATGAAGAAAATTGTGAAAGGAATTGATGAGGCGATGGACAAGAAGATAAATCTGGAGACACACAGGAGAATGAAGATGGACTACGATTATTAATATTTTATTTAAATAATTTATTATAATTAAAAATAAATTTTACAATAAAATAAAATTTTACAAGATTAATTTAATAAATTTTATTTCCATATAAAAATTATTATTAATTCTAAAAAATTATTTAAATAAATTTAATAATAATAATAATTATAAGATTAATTTAATAAATTTTATTATCTTATATAAATTATTTTTAATTATAAAAAATTATTTAAATAAAATATTAATAATGATATAAAAAATCTAAATTTTATTATTTTCTTTATAAGAAAATTAAATATTAATAAAAATATAAAAATAATTTTTTAAAAATTTTAATAAGAAAAATAAATTAAATAAAAAAATTAAGATAAATAAAAAATGTGGGGTTTTATTTATATATATTTAATTAATTAGAAAATTATTTTAATTCTTAAAATTTATTTTTAATTTTAAAAAATTATTTTAATAAAATATTAATAATTATAGCTATTACTTGCATATTCTAATTTTTCATCCCAAAATTGAGCTTATTCCCCCTATGGTTTTACAATTTTTGGGACCTATAACTCGGCCCAGAATCATTTCCTAAAGTAGGTGGAAGGAATGATTTTAAAGAATAAAGATTATTTTCCCTCATAACTTAAAAATTAATAAATGAAAGCGAATTAAAATTTTCACAAAAAATATTTCAAAATAAAGAAGAAAATAATAATAATGAGGAGGAGGATGAAATATGTAGTTAATGAATTTTGTGAAGAAGAATTAAATGAGAATGGAAATATTGAAATTAAAATTAAAAGAATTAAACAAAATACTCAATGCTCATTTGCCCAGTTTTCCTATTCACATGGGATATGCTTATTTTGTACGAAGATATATGTAGACCTTTATTGCCTGGAATTCGTTAATACTTTTTATTAAATTAAAGAATTTAATTAGCTCCACCTAATTATTGTGTAAGTTTAATAAATTTTATTTTCTTATAAAAAAGTTATAAGATATTGTAAGGATGATTCACCCAGCAGCATTTAAAACGCTTAGGCGGGGGTTAAACAATCTAAAAAGGAAAAAGAGAAAGCATTAGCCGATGCCCCGGTAGCTCAGAGGTAGAGCTCCTGCATATAGTGAGCGAAAACGCCTAGCAACAACTAGCAGGTGGTCACAGGTTCGAATCCTGCCCGGTGGCTAAACTATTGCAAACTTTTTCTATATCTTCTCACCTATAATTATCATTATTATTATTTAATTTAAATAATTTATTAGAATTAAAAATAAGTTTTACAATAAAATAAAATTTTACAAGATTAATTTAATAAATTTTATTTCCATATAAAAATTATTTTTAATTCTAAAAAATTATTTAAATAAAATATTAATAATTATAGTAATTTTAAAATAAAAATAATACAATTTAGATTTTTATAAAATTTATTTTTAATTCTAAAAAAATATTTACATAAAATCATAATAACAATTATAAGATTAGTTTAATAAATTTTATTTTCTTATAAAAAAGTTCTCTCTTATAATTATCATTATTATTATTTTATTTAAATAATCTACTAGAATTAAAAATAAATTTTACAATAAAATAAAATTTTACAAGATTAATTTAATAAATTTTATTTCCATATAAAAATTATTATTAATTCTAAAAAATTATTTACATAAATAAATAAGAAAAATCGTCAATTTTTTTTATTTATTTTAATTTTTTTATTTAATTTATTCTTATTATTCAAATTTATATAAAAATATTTTCATATTTATTATTAAAATTTTATTTTTCTTTAAATTCTTAATGTAAATTTAATTTGTTGTTTTGTCCCTTTGCCTTTTTGTCATCCAACATCTTTGTATTTTGTTAAGAAAAATGAATGTTTGTAAGTGAGACAGACGCTCTGGCTTTAAAGATTGTATTAATAGTCTAAAAGACTATAGTGAAATTATGACTCAATTGTAAAGCTTCAGCTTTACGTGAAAGCCGAACCTTTTTTCAAGGGGGTTGTTAATGGTGTCACTATAGTATAAAAGCCAGTGAAAGCGTCAGACTAGTTGGATCATACTAGCGAGGCTGGTCACTAATCTTCGTCATCTGTTTCAGCCCTTTCCACCTTCACCTACACATTGAACATTTCAACACCGGATAAAATGTTAATCTTGTGCACGTCTACATTACTTAAATCTCGGGCACCTCCGGTTGTAACAGTTAGACTAAATTATATTATAGAGAACGTAACTAAATCTATGTAAAATCTTGTTACAAAAAGGGGATCTAATTGGAATAATTTCAGTCTGTCTCGATATTTGTGTTTTTTGTTTCTACATTTTTTAAGGTTATAGAATTTTTGAATCTTTTCTATAGTCTTAATTAAATCTTTTTGTTTAGGGTTCCATATTTGTCTTATTTATTTATGTAAATAATTTTTTAGAATTAAAAATAATTTTTATATGGAAATAAAATTTATTAAATTAATCTTGTAAAATTTTATTTTATTGTAAAATTTATTTTTAATTCTAATAAATTATTTAAATAAAATAATAATAATGATAATTATAAGAGAGAACTTTTTTATAAGAAAATAAAATTTATTAAACTAATCTTATAATTGTTATTATGATTTTATTTAAATATTTTTTTAGAATTAAAAATAATTTTTATATGGAAATAAAATTTATTAAATTAATCTTGTAAATTAATCTTGTAATGATCACGAGAATTTCGACGATACTTTTTAATTTTTTAAATTATTTATTTAAAAGGACAAAAAAAGAAAATTTATTTAAAATGTCACTTTAAGTTTTTGAAATTTTAATTTTTAATTTACTTGTGCTAAAAGTCTATAACTACATAGATATTACTTCCATTTGTCAATTCAAAATCAAGTTTTTGTTGAGGACTCAATCCGGCAAGAAGACAATAATCACGAACGAAATAAATTCAAACCCTCAAAAATTCCAACCAGTTCAAAATAATGGTCTGTCTAATTTATTACAACAACAAGCACTAAATGGGGGAATTCCTGAAATTTGTACAAAATTAGCACAACTCAATCCGGCAAGAAGACAATAAAAAATATGGAAATTTCTTTAAATTTCCATAAATACATATTATTTTATGATTCTCTAGATTGTTCAATAAAAGCTTCCACAACTCTATATTTTTCAAAAAAAAATAATTCAATTTTTGCTGATGAAATTACAATCTTTATTTATTAATTTTAAATAAACAAATTATTTAAATAAACTTTAGATATTTCATTATTTAATTTATAATTTAATTAAAAATATTTTTCGTGTCTATCAGCATTTATATTACGGAAAGTTTTTGCATTTGCAAAGGCTAATATGTATAATAATTTAAAAATTAATTTAATTATTTTTTTATTTAAAAATTCCACCTTAATAATTATTTGTGCAGAATTTAATTTTAATTCAAAATTTTAATTAGCAAAATCAGCACTAAGGAAATTTAAAAGTTGTTTAAATAATTCTGATTTTCCTGACTATTTTATAAAAATAATTTAAATTTAATTTTTATTCAAAATTTTGATTTATTTTTTCCTTTTTTTAACAAAACGTAAAATTTCAGTGTGGAAGTCGTTGACGATATAAACGAATTAATTCTTTTCTTTGATTTTTATCATCGCTATATAATTTAATATCTTATAAATTATTATTTAATGAAACTAAAATACGCTTTCCAATAAATGTCTGAAAAATAATGTAGAATAATATTTAAAATAATTTTTACAAAATAAATATTTTGCCTGTGTCGAATTTGAAATTTTCTGAGAAAAGCAGCTTCGTGTAATTCGACCTATCTTTGGACTATTAAGAAAAAATAGAAGGGGAAAATGAAAATAAAAATGTGGGTAGATAACAAGAAAGTACCAATAAATCTATTCAATCTTTTGAGAATTTTTTGAATAATTTTTTCTAAATTTAATGGAGAAAAAAGTTGAAATTATAAAAATGAATTTGTTTTCTTAGTATTAACCAATTAAATATAGATTGTTTTCTTAGTATTAACCAATTAAATATAGATTGTTTTCTTAGTATTAACCAATTAAATATAGATTGTTTTCTTAGTATTAACCAATTAAATATAGATTGTTTTCTTAGTATTAACCAATTAAATATAGA